CCTGGGGGGATTTAACAGCCGGGCAGAGGCGGTGCTGAGGGCCAGGGTTTGGGGGTGGGATGGCAGGGGTAGGGGGGCGGTTGGGCTGGGGGAGCTTCAAGGGCTTCTCCAACCTCAATGATTTCATGATTCTATGATTCTGTTCCGGCTCTTTTCTGCCCCTCTGCTTCCACTGCTCCATCCGTGATCCACATGGTCTCTGGTTGACTGCTCAGGATAACACAAGGATTTGATTTTTTTGGAAGAGCCAGACCAGCCCGATTTACGCTGCAACATGTCGCGGTCCCGGCTGCAATTTGGTCATCACCTCCGAAAAGAAAAATTAGGGGAAAGATGGGGGGAAAAAAAGAGGCACACTCCCACACTCATGGGACAATTTAATAGGGTAGTGGTCAACAGATCGATGTCCGGATGGAGACCAGTGACCAGTAATATCATCATCAATGACATAGACGGTGAGATCAAGCGCACCCTCAGCAAGTTTGCCCAAAGAGGGGGCGGAGGCCCCATCCCTGGGAACATCCCAGGCCAGGTTTGATGGGGCTGTGGGCAACCTGATCTGGTTAAAGTGTCCCTGCTCCTGCAGGGGGGTTGAGCTGGGTGACCTCTGGGGGTCCCTTCCAACCCAACCCATTCCATGATTCTATGACATAATTTTGGAAAAAGCTTGAGGGGGGGAGATTCATTGGGGTTAGGTCAAAAACATAAAGTATCTTCTTTTGGTCTAATTCCATGCTTTTTCAGGAAAAAAAAAAAAGCAAATTCTGAATGAGGGAGAGCTGCCTCATAAGGGCTTTGTTGCAGCTGGCCAATCCTGGGCTGCCTTGTCATCCTTCATTTGAATACGTCCACTTATACGAGAGCCCTGGCACTAGTGGGACGCCTTTGCGGGGAGGAGCACAGGGTCTGAAGGAGAACCCATGGCCGCAGCCACCAAGAGAGGAGGAAAGACCTCGAGGAGGAGGAAGAGGAAGCAGAAAGTCCAGCAGGCGAAGACTCTGCTTAAGTGGAGGAGGTCTCCAGCTGGGGTTAGGCGATGGAAACCAGCTCCGAAGGGGTTAAGCGTCTCGTTCAAGACGGGATCCTACAAGAGGTACATCTCCGGGCTGCTGCGCCAGCTGGCATCACCAACCAGGCGCATGTCGGCGGAGGCAGAGAGGCTGATGAACATCTCCATGGGCATCCTTTGCAAGGGGGTGGTCACCGAGGCGGACCGCCAGAGGAGGCAACGCCGGGGGTCCTTCATCGGCACCTTGGAGTTGCAGGCTGCTGTGGATAAGGTCATGAAAGGTGAAAGTGGAGTGTGTTTTGCCTTCTCCATCCCCAGCAGATCTTCTCACATGAACTGAATAACAAGGGCCTGTCCTCTCGCCACGGATATCGCCAAGGTCGTTTCTGTTGTTGTGTTCGGGCGAGGTGGGAGCAGGAGATACCCTGTCTTAATTGGGCTGGGAAGAATGAGGGGTGGGGTTTTCTCTCCTCCAGCAGAGTAGGAGCAACCTCACCCAGAGCTGGTGTTTGCTGCCGATAGTGGCCACGCTTGGTCCCTGTCCTTGCCTTCACACCCCCCGGGTACACAGCTCGCTCTTCCCTCTCCCACATCTGCCAAGATAACCAGAGTCCTGGTTGAATTCCAGTCTCTGGAGAAGACCTCCTGGCTGGGCTGGTCACCGCTGGGCTTCACCACCACACCGTGGGAGCTGGAGCCGCTGATGCACGGAGCTGGTGCACCCCATGGCCATGGTGGAGCCGCTGGTGCATGATGACGTTGGAGCTCTGGCTGAAGTTCTTCCCGCACTCAGGGCAGTGGTAGGGCTTCTCCCCAGTGTGCACCCACCGGTGCTTGGCAAGGGACGAATTGACGTTGAAGCCCTTCCCACAATCCCCACAGACGTAGGGTTGCTCACCGCTGTGGACCCACTGGTGGGTGGTGAGATGAGCCCATTGGCTGTACCGCCGCCCACACTCCCCACACCGAAATGGCTTCTCCCCGGTGTGCACACGCCAGTGCCACACCAGGTTGGAGACCACTGTGAAGCTCTTGCCGCACGCACCGCAGAGGAAGGGGGTCTCCCTGGTGTGGCTGCGCTGGTGGGTGAGGAGGTAGGGGGTGGTGGTGAAGCCCTTGCCACACTCAGAGCACTTGTAGCGCTTGTCCCGCCGGCCGGCATTGCAGTGCCAGACGAGGTGGGGTCGCTGAAGCCCTTGCCGCAGTTGGCACAGCTGTAGGGTGGCTCACCGCTGCGTGTCTGTTGGTGGGTGATGAGCTTGGAGCTGATGGGGAAGGCCTTGCCGCAGTCGGTGCAGGTGTAGGGCCGCTCACCACTGTGCAGCCGCTGGTGGGCGATGAGGTTGGAGCCGCCGCTGAAACGCTTCCCACAGTCAGGACACTCGTAAGGCTTCTCCCCGGTGTGGGTGCGGCGATGCTTGATGAGATCGGAGCTGCCGTTGAAGCTCTTCCCGCACTCCTGGCACGGGAACAGGCACTCACCCGTGTGCAGCCGGCGGTGGGTCACCAGGTGGGAACGCTGACTGCAACACCAACCACAGTTGGGACATGTGTAGGGCTTCTCCCCGGTGTGGCTTCGCCGGTGGCACACCAGGTTGGACACAATGTTGAAGCTCTTGCCGCAGTCAATGCACTGGTACAGCTTCTCGCCCATGTGGATGCGACGGTGTGTCACCAGCATGGAGCTGTGCCTGAAACCCTTCCCAAGTCAGGGCATTTGTAGGGCTTGTCCCCACCATGGCCTCGCTGGTGACAGAGCAAGTTGGAGAAGACCCCGAAGCTTTTCCTGCAGCCAGGGCAGGGGTGCTGGGACCCCCATCTCTGGGGATGGAAGCTCTTCTCGCTGGTGGAATGAGGGATGGGTCTATCCATGGGGGAACAGCAATTCCCTGCACATCCCCGGAGCTTCCTCCCCAGAACAACCCTGAACCTCCTCTTGGCCTTTCTCTCCGGAACTCTGGTGGATGTTGGCTGGCTCATGGTGCTGGGAGATGTCCTCCAAGCAGGTCTTGATGTCTGGGTCTGTGTGTGCAGCGCTGTCCCTCATCCCACTCACCATCCCATCCCCTGCTGAGGAAAGAGATCATGAAGAGTCAGTCCTGGGCTGGGATGGAAAAGGGAACCCACTGAAGAAGCAGGGCAGGGGAAAGCCAAGAATGAAGAAAGCTCATGTGAGCTCCACCTTAAGCCCAAGTCCAAGTACTGGCCAGCTGGAGAAGCTTCAGCTGAAGTTCCACTCCAAACCCCAGCTCTTAAAACCTTCCATAACTCAAAAGGAGAGCTTCTGCCTTTGCTTCCCATGGGCTGAGAGTTCTCCAATGTCCATCTGGAGGCAACATCTCCCAAGGGACCAGGAGAGGTTCTGGGACCTCTGTCCTAGAAGATACCAAGCTCAGGGTGAGTGTCTTGGGGCCTGGGTATAAGCCCCAGGTGATTTGCTTTTCTCCCAGATGCTTTCTAGGTTATTTAAGCCAGTTCCTCACATGTGGAAGAGTCGTTAGGGAGGGGCTTTGCATCCGAGTCCTGGGGAGCTGGGGTCTATGTCTTGTCCTCCAACTCCATCCCAGAGGAGATTCTGTCAGGCTGGTTCCTGAGACGGAGCAGAAGTCTGCGTGTGTTTGAGGAGCTACTACAAAAAGATTTGGGGGCTCTGATGGGGAGAGGACAACACAAGGGCTGGGCACAGGTGGGAAAGGTCTCTCTGCTTGTTCTCTTACATAGCATCTCCTTCCACCATGGCTGGAGAGAACATGGGGCCAGATGGACCATTGGTCTGACATGGTAGAAGAAGGTAGGGATGGAGGGTGCCACAGGACCCCCAAATACACATCCCATGGGGGAAGCACCATTGCCCAAAGCAACGGGGAAAGTCTCCTTTACCTCCAAAGTCAAGAGGAGCATCCCCTGTGCCCATCCAGTCCCATGACTTAGCCCGGGAAGGAGGGAAGGTGTGTCCCTACCCAAAGAGGAGTCATTTCCAGCGCTCTCCTGCATGGCTTCCTGGTACTGGGCCTGCTGGCCGGGATTGGTGAGGTACTGAGCCACCTCCTTGAAGGTCACCGGACACTGAAGCGAGGATTTCCCAGCTCAGCGCCTGCCACTGTGGGTGAGCTCAAGGCAGCAGGGAGAGGAGCCAAGGCTATGTTCAGGAGAGCCAGAAAGGATCGGAGATCCCAAGGTATTGTTCCCCATAGGGTGTAGTTGAGCAGTGGAAAGCCTTGCTGTAGGACATCACAGATGCTGAAGGGCCACACATGTTCAGAAAGCAGCTGGGGAAGCTTAAGGGGAAGAAGGAAAAAAAGAAACTGGAGAACACTGGGGGTTGTTAAACACCCAGCAAATGCCTGATGGGGATGATGGAGCTGAAGGAGCTCAACCAGGCTGGGCTCAACCCCTCCACCCCATCCTCCATGGCCTTTTCCTGGCGACACAAACCCCCACACCCTACTGTGACTTTGCACCTTCCCTGCGTTCCTGACACAGGGGGAGCTCAGAGAAACCCTTACAGCAACTCGCATCCAGGGTCAGCCTTGAAGGACGCCCACCACAGGCTCCGTCCTCTGCTCCTCACCACCTCTCCTGCACCCTGACCGCTGCGGGTGTATGGGGACCTCTTGGTCTCCACAGCTGGGACAGCCCCACCAGCCCGGGCACCGATGTTCCAGGTCAGCCAAAATGCACTTGCCCACCCCGAAGGAGAGATTGTCCCTCACCTGCGCCAACTCTGCTGGGGCCGTGTCCTTTTCCGTCCCTCTTGGCAGCGATGGGGATGCTCTGCTGGAGCCTATGGAGGGAGAAGGAGGTGCTGAGCTGTTTCCCGGGGGGAAAAAAAACACCTGGACCAACCCCTTTGCATCTGTGCAAGGGAAGAAGCAGCTTCCTTCATTCCTACGAGGTTTTTTTCCTCTCGGGACACAGGAGAAGGCTCAGCCAGCCCTTGCCCACCAGAGCTCAGCCTTGTTGGACCTTGTCCACCTCCCGGGGAGCAGATCTGCCGCTCGGATCACCAGGGAAGAGCCAGGTTCTGGGAACAGCTCTGGTCTTCCCATGCCCTCTTGTGGCTCAACCCCACGCGTGGGGATGAGGCAAAGGCAGGGACTTGGGGCTGCCTCTCTCTGCTTCTTGCACTGGTCCCAGTACAGGGACTGGGGCCGGACTGGGAGGCTGGGCAGCCTGCATGGTGGCCCCCCTCGCACCAAGGCTTGGTCCCTCGGTCTTCCCTTGGGGACATCCATCCACTGCCACTAGCCAAGGAGTGACGGAGCAGGAAGAGAGGATCAGGGAGGCTGCAGAAATCGGCTCCGCTCCCTCCTTGGGCGGGGAGGCAGGGGTTAAACCCCTGTGCGCGAGGGAGGGCAGGATTTAGGGACAATTCCACCCCCCCATCCTTGCGCTCTTTCCAAAGCCAATTAAAGGAAAATTATTGCTTCCTCTCCGCTCCCGGCTTTTCCCAGCCAGGAAGGGATGAAAACACCACCAAACCCCCGGCACCCACTGTGCGCCCGCGTGGTTCCAAACCTCCTGGGCTTTCTCGGAAGCAGAAATCCGGGCTCCTCTCGCGTTCCCCCGCTGGATTTCTTTTATCTCCTTTTTCGCAGATTTGTGTTTTCCTTGGCTCTCAGGGTCTCATCCTCCATTGATGAGGGGTATTTTGGTGAGTGGAAATTCCCCTCCACCGTGAATGGGGGACCACAGGCAACTTTAATTTGAGAGCAGCTTAGAATTTATTGCGGCAAAGCACAGGATGGGCTCGTGGGGTTTTAATCGCAAGCATCAGCCAATCCACAAAGTGATCAGAGGAGATTTGTCTTCATCAGAACAGCTGCTTAGCAAACGAGCCGACGAGGGTTCGCTCTCTCGCTGCCTGGAAGAAGAACGCAAAGGGAAAATGAAGTCACGCTGGAGTTGGAATGATTCAGAGAGGATGAGGAGGGCCCTCCCGTTGGGGCCCAAGGTTCAGAGCAGCCCCCCTCGCTTTCTAAACCCCTTCTCCGAGCGGGGTCCGGGTGGGGCTGGGACCAATCTCAGTCTCGGCCTTGGCCAACAGTTTATGTCTGAGGGTGATATCTACCGATCTATCCAGTAGCAGCATAAAATTCACTTTATAATCAAATCGTACATCTACAAAGTCCTTAAACGGGTTTGCACTGACAGGATTGTATTTTTACAGAGATCTATAAAGGCAGAGCTGTTAAAAATTCCCCTCGGGCTGAGGGAAACATTCACATTCAATGTCTCGGCGTTGCTCGACGGGCAAGGGTTGAGCCTGAAGGAGGGAAGGGTTCCAGCCCAGCCTCTGCTGTTGCTCTTGGGCGATGGACCTTTGATTTGGGCAACCTTGAAGAGTTTGTGAGCGCCGAGGGGGCCTCCTGCTCCGCCAGGCGTCCCGCTCCGCAGGAGATCCTGGTCGGTCCAGGAGAGCTCAACAGGCCCCGCTCAGGACCATTTGTTATAGGGTCATGAGCTGATTGGCTTTAGTCATCGGCAAATTTCCATCCTGGCCACAATCTGAGTGGGTAATTACCGGGATTCCAGTGACGATGGTACCGCTTCGCTCGGCTTCCCATCCGGGTAAGGGATGTTCCAAGGCTGTCGGGGGGTAACGGATTCTTCCCGCTCCCCACCTTGGCCGTGTAGGAGTTCCAGGTACGGACGGTGCCACTCACCCTCCGGCCTCCTTACACTAGGGCCAAGATCTGATGGGATTTCCTGAGGTCGTCAAGTGATCCAGGAGGAAAAAAAAAAAGGGGGGTGGGGGATGCACCATCACACCCCGCTTCCCCCCAGTGAGCGCGAGTCCCGCGCCTGGAGCTTTTGGGGGAAACCAACCCATTTTCAGCAGCCCCGTCAGGAAAACACAGTTGGGGCCACTTTTCCCAGGTGGAAAATCCTCATTTCTTTGTAGAGGAGTTTCTCGAACAACAGGGCCACAAAGTATTGTGGGAACATATGGACAATCCAGGGTTTGTAAACCGCATGTCCTTGGTACCCTGCAACAAGTAAGAAGCTATGAGCTAAAGCAAAAATGTGCTGACTGCAAGTAGAAACTAGGATAGCTGTGTGCTTTGTTTTATATATCCAATCGCTAGTTGAGAATAAGCGCGTGGACAGTAAAGCTTAAACCAATGAAAAGTGTTACAGGTGCCGTCACTGTCTGAGGAGAAGCGCGTGGACAGTGTCTGCCACTAGCCAAGGAGTGACGGAGCAGGAAGAGAGGATCAGGGAGGCTGCAGAAATCGGCTCCGCTCCCTCCTTGGGCGGGGAGGCAGGGGTTAAACCCCTGTGCGCGAGGGAGGGCAGGATTTAGGGACAATTCCACCCCCCCATCCTTGCGCTCTTTCCAAAGCCAATTAAAGGAAAATTATTGCTTCCTCTCCGCTCCCGGCTTTTCCCAGCCAGGAAGGGATGAAAACACCACCAAACCCCCGGCACCCACTGTGCGCCCGCGTGGTTCCAAACCTCCTGGGCTTTCTCGGAAGCAGAAATCCGGGCTCCTCTCGCGTTCCCCCGCTGGATTTCTTTTATCTCCTTTTTCGCAGATTTGTGTTTTCCTTGGCTCTCAGGGTCTCATCCTCCATTGATGAGGGGTATTTTGGTGAGTGGAAATTCCCCTCCACCGTGAATGGGGGACCACAGGCAACTTTAATTTGAGAGCAGCTTAGAATTTATTGCGGCAAAGCACAGGATGGGCTCGTGGGGTTTTAATCGCAAGCATCAGCCAATCCACAAAGTGATCAGAGGAGATTTGTCTTCATCAGAACAGCTGCTTAGCAAACAAGCCGACGAG